GCCAGAACAGGAACAAACCCCTGAACCCATGAAGCACTCTGTCATAGGATCCGGATGTTTGGAAAAGGAAAGGTCTCACTGATAGTTCAGAAGCTTAGCCTGACCTCATCAGGATCTGGATACACGGAGTTCCCCAGAGGCTCCTAGCGATGAGCAAGCCGGACAGGCCTGACCAGAACGACTGGTGAGAGCCAAGGTGCTGGTACGAGAGTTTCACGTCGAGATCTCGGTTGTTCAACGCATTCTTCCGGACTGCCATCCTGCAGCCCGAAGTGCAAAAAGTTTTTCACGCTTTGCCCTTACCATCCATATACACTTCAACTGGTATGTGGTAGACCCGTGCCGTCGTGAACTAGAGCTTTCCTGCGGGCTGCCCGGTACTTGTAGCACATTCTGATGCCAGGCACTTTGCAAGGCCACCGGCAGAGCCTGCCACTCAGAATATCGCCAGGAAAGACCACGAGGGGCCTGCAGCCGCATGTTAGACTTGGGTCGGGTGTCGCAGGCAAGAACTTCTGGTTGTGCGCGTCTTTCTGTTGCAGGTTGGGGGGTACAAGGCAGGATGCTTTAGCCGTGATACAGTGGTGGCACCTACTGCGGTGCTCGTTGACACTGCTTCATTCTTCTTCTAACTACAAATGAACCCTCGAGTTTCGACCGTGCGTTGCTGATGCGACTGCATTTCGAAAAGCAGCATATATCATCCCCGCAACTTGCCCACACTCAAGCAGGACAAGAGTCTAGACTCGCGCAATTTGTGAATGTGGCCTGTGCCTTACATGCGCCCGGTTTTCAGAACTCTGTGTGTTTGTCATTTGACGAACAAAGCAGCAGATTTTTTGCGAAACCCAGACTACGAGAATCTAGAAGCCCTGTCCCCTTTTCTAGTGGGCTCCTCTAAGCTATCGTCTTTGTATCTTGGTCAGCTTTTTCCCTAGTCTATTCAGTTCTGGCTTTGCTGGGTGGGCAAGACAGAAACTCAGGTCCCCGCTCTTCGAGGTAAAGAACCTGAGATTCAGACTCCACTCCACTCCACGCCAGGGCCTGTGAAGCCCTTAAACCCTAAACTCCCTGAACCCCTAAGCGCCAAAACCGAAGCTCCAAACCCCAAATTAGACAAAACGGCTCGGATCTCTCAAAGGCTTGTGCTGCCAGAACGGCCTTCAGGTTCTAGGGCTCATAACTGGCAAAAGTCGGAAGACTCTTTGGCTTTTCTGGCAATCCCACTAAGCCAGCTGCCGAAGTCGTCGAATCCTCCCTCGTGTCTTCCACAACACGACTCACCAACACCCGAACTCGCAAACCGACAAAACCCCTAAACCCCGAACCTTAAGCCCTTAATCCCAAACTGAGAGGCACTACCTTAACCCCAAATAGCCTACGTTTCTTAAGGGCTTAGATAAATCGAAATGATGTCTTAGGGTCCAGGTCAACCTTATGGCTTCCTTCAAGGAGCCGTCTGCTTCCAGTGGGTGTCCGGCTGCCCCGGAGCCGTGGAAAGCGGTAGGGCCTTGTGACACCCTAGGGCTCCAGTGGGTGCATTATGTACGGGTAGTAACCTACTGCTAGGTAACTGGAGCCCGAGGGACAGATGGACATCAGGCCAAAGGTATAGAAAGATGCTGCCCATCGTTCGGTAAACTTTTATTCGACGTATGAAGTTCGAAAACTTTCTGCATGGTCTTTAGGTCGTCAGTTGTCGGGTCATGAGGGTTCACGGATTCGCTGGCTTAGTTTCAGAGATCATACGTCATGTAAATGTCAATTAGTTTGTTTTGTGATCCATGAGTTTCATGCATGCCAAGATCGATTTGCAGAACGAATGCATTGGATTGATTGCGCTGGTCACGATCCCTGGAAGGGTCCACGAGCGGAACCACCATGCACAAGTTGCTATGTATGTCTCTTTTGAGTGCCCGGCATCGGGTGCAGCATCGAAGAAGACGTCGAACCAAACAACCTGGTATGAGAAGACTCTCAAGAGTAGGATCCTCATTTGTTACAAGACCCCCCAACATCCCTAACTTTAAGAAACTCCCATCCTGTTTTCAGCACATCATGTCGGGGACTTCACAGAGCTCTTAGTCAGGGCCATCACATCATGAACACAGAGGGCGTCACAGTATGATTGCTGCGACACATGCACAAAAACTTACGGCACTGCAGAAGCACGCAGGGCGGACCAAGGCATGGATGAAGTCCTGGCGGTGAGACTTGAGCGAAAATGGCCTGGGCACGACAAAGTTCTGAATGCATGTGCTGCTTGTGTGCTCGAGGCCCTCCCAGGTTCATAAACAAGCGTCGCTAAGCTCCGAACGACACAAAGTCCAGCTCATGACCTTGAGTGCATGGTGCTGGGGGCCGAAAGGGGCGGAGTACTGTCGGACAAACCCTTGCAAAGCCCAGTCCATATGGCTTGTGAGCCCCTGGGGACCTCGGGTTCTAGGTCAAGCTGCACTGCACCTTTTGCCTCCCTACCACCTGAAGATGCACTCAAAACAAAACATCCAGCAGCTCTTGGAGGCATGGAAGAAGGCGGGCGTTATGTAAGGCCGGTGCAGTGCAGTCAGGCTGCGGTCACATTGGGTTTAGAACTGCTGCGCTGCTTTGGTAACTAGCTCGGTGTTGTTTCGAAAACTCCAATTGTCTCCACCTACGCCTATCAAGGACGGAACAGGGTTGCCAATTCACTTCACGCACCTCAATGAATCTTTTTCCCAAATCGTCATTGAATCGACAACCTCCAGATGTAAGTATCACCATGAACAGACTTCATCGACACTGCAATGATTGTCATCCACAGCAACTTCTGCCGACAGCTTTGAAGGAATTTAGCCATGGAAGTTTGCAACTGCGACCGGGATGCATTTGATAACACTGAGGTCCATCTGGAAGACCTCGGGGAAGCTCAATGCCATGTGCTCTCGGTTCCTGTTGAGTTGAGGGTAAGGGGGTGTCTGTCTGCAAGATAAGCACTTTTGGCTCCTGCATGGCACTAGGAGCCCTGACATCTTGGCCTCTTGGCCTGATGTACAAATGACGAGCCTGGCATAATACACATTTTGAGACTCAAACTCGAACGAGACGCACCGGCATCAACCGAGAGAAGCCAGAATACTACATCCCAACCCCAAGGCATCAACTGCTGGGGACATGGCTACCTGAAAGAACAATTACATGAAACGGGCAGCACGAACTAGATCAACCCTGATCAACCCTCTTGGTTGGACAGCCGGACGTAGAATAATCTGATATGTGGCGGGCGACCCTTGCTCCGTATTAGGAGCAAATAGCTCAAGTGTCTTATGTTGAAAGTACACTCTGGGATTCTGTTATCAAACTCGTACCGCACAGCATGATTTCCTTGATGGGGAAATATATGTGTCACACCCATCCATGCATGAATGCGTGATACGTGCATACATACACATACAGGCTGCTGACGACGAGTGTCTGTAGTACAAAGTTCATTCACAGGGTCCTCAAGCCCTTTCCTGTTCCCGCCCTCCCCTAAGCTGCACACACACGCCGTGTCTGTCACGAGTGCGAGTGGCTCGACGATGTCTGAGATGGGCTCTTGGATGGCCTTGTGAAATCTTCCGAAACATGTAGGGAAGGCAGGACCTGGTGAATTTTGAGAGATTTTCTGGTCTAGCTACGCTGTCATCTTCGTCATGCGCTCTGCGCCTTGGGTCCTTCCGATCTTCATGACATCTTCTACCATCAGTACTTCATCCTTTGGCATTGGAACTCTGGTGCCGGCGTCAGTGATCCTGATGACAAGGCCGGCTGCTGTGGCTTCTGAGTAAACCATATGGATGTGATGGTTGCTTTCCCCGAGAACTCTGTAATGCCATTATTGCACTTGATTACACGTGCTGCTGCTACTTCTGCGGCTCGGTCAGACGGTCAGTAACAACAGAGCAGACAACTTTCACGGATAAGGCGACGACGACGACGACGACAACAACTAAGACTAAGACTACGACTCCACCTGCTCGTTTTGCGGCTCTGCTCCAACTGCTACAAGAACGACGCTACGACCACGACGGCGACGCTTGCAGCGAATGTCGTCCATGCCAGGCATGTGGTTTTGCAGGAAACTGGAGGGTTATCTTACGTAGGCTGCAACTATCTCCAGAATCGGTGTGTTGACCGGACAGCCGCATTGAAGAGCCTCTGCCGTGCCATTCCTCGCTCCAGACCCCACACGCTCGATGAAGCAATGCGGAACGAAGACCAAGGCCGGTCTGCACTTGGTTTCTGCATGTTCCAAGAGCTGACTAGTTTGAGGCAGCATCCGCTTCGTGCTTACAGGGGACTGTAGAAAGTTCACCCACGCGGCAACCCCAGAAAAGACTCCAAAAGCAAGCTGCCAATACACATGCCAAGCAACACACTCCGCTGTTCAAGCATGCATCCAAAGCCTGATCTGAAGGCCCACCGACCCCCACCACCTCAACTGAGCAACACACATACGCTGCCAGCGGAGTAAAGTCGAAGCCACGAAGGTGGGTCCATTGACCAAGCCTCGGCTTTCCACTCTCAGCTGTGCGTTTTTCTTGTCTTCAAGCATCTGTTGGAGAATTCGTCGGCTCTAGCTCGCAGACGCCAACATGCCGAAATGCTACATATGTCTCATATGTATATAACTACAATGCATATGTTGTGTAGGTATGTATATGTTCATATATGGGGGTTTCCGAAAATAGGGGGCCCGAATATAGTACCCTAAATACTAGGATCCTTATTATAAGGACCCCAAAATGAGGTACCCCCTATTTTCGGAAACTCCCATATATACATACATATACACATCATATGTATCACGTGTAGCCTTGTCTTGCCGCAGCAACACCTTATCCTTGCCCACTCGTCTACTGACAGAGCATCGGCCGTTGCATGTGCACACAGACACCCTCCCCGGAAACTGAATCCCGCAAGCTGACCAGAACAAAACGCAAGCAAGATGAGTGTCTACAAGCATTGTATGCTACATGTCAGTTCGTTGGTTTCTGTACATGCTCGAGGCAACCTGACCACTCCATGCCCAGCAGCTTCTCCTCCCTGTACTCGGCATCCTCAATACCGGCCATGAAGAGGCTTGCTCGGTCAGGGAAGAGGTGGCCCCCTGACAGATCCGACTCATTCTGGGCTCAAGAGCATGAAGTGGCAAACGTCCTGTATCTAAAACGGCTGATTAAGGTGCTGATTCAAGCTCCTCAATTGTGGTTAGACCTTCACTGGCAATCCTTGTCCGAGGATTCTCGTCCGATCGACACGCATGCTCAAGGAATCCCTCCCCAGCCTGATCTCAGCCATTTATCCCGCGCGAACAGGACGCTATCAAGCATCGACTCCTTGGGGCTCTCTGGACATCGGCATCTCGGAACGAAAAAGAAACCGAGACTTAAATTGGACACGACTGTAACGGGTGCAGACCTGAGGGTTGGCATGCCTTTCGAAAATATGGCGGCCAACCGCACATGTGAAGATGCAGACGATGGTCTTGCTTGATAACCTGAAAGGTTTCTGAATGCCTGCGGTCTTTCAGACTTTCTGCGAGTAGCAAGCCCTGGGCGATGACATTGCCGGCTATGCTACACATGCAAGTGGTTCTCCCAGCTGCGGCTATTTGCTTCCAAAGCTCCTGAATGCCATGCGCAAACTAGCACAGTCTGACCTTTCCAGCTGCATCATGTACAGATACTCTCCCTGCAACAGCTACGCTACGGAGGTCAACTCCAAAATCCACGGTGGGAGGAAAACGTACATGATTGGCAACATGGGTTGCGATGCCTATGATCTGAGACAGGTTTTAGATTTTAGATGAGATGGTACAGTAAACTCAAAACAGCTGTGGCGTCCGAGCGACAAACATCAGGAAGTAACCTCGGGCTGTCTCTTGTGGCTTCTGCGGCACTTGCAAAGATTGGTTGCTTGGTTCAAGGCCGGCAGCACCACAACAGAATGCGCCATCAACCGCACCAATGAGTTTTGACGGAAACAGAAACCCAATGACAACAGGATCTAACACAGTGCTGCAGGCCCTCCCAGCCAAGAAAACCAGCCAAGCAATCCAAGGCAGACAGCTTGAACGTGGAAACTCTGCCATGCCACGGAACATCATGCCTGCAAACAACTCAGACTGATGTTGATTGAGATTGGCAAGTGGAGCAGTCCTCGCGCTGCGGAAGGTGCAGCCGGGAAATGACGGAGTAACCTGGACGAGCAGCCCATCCATTCCGAGACGATGATGTCCACTTTGTCCACTGGGATCTCGACTTCTTCGACCTGGTAGGACCCGAGTGCAGAAGCTGCAAGTACAGACACATGCGCACATAAACATATGTGTGCACTTGATTTTAAGCAGGCATACATATGCACATGCATACATACTACATACATATATAAACACATCATACATACATGCATGCATGCCCAAGCACAAACACAAAAAACACATATAGATGTGTGCATGTGTATATGTCATAACATATCATATCACATCATATTGCATTATGATGTACATGCCCATACACCTCTTACATACTTACATATTGCATATGCATACATGCACGCATAGATACACTTGCAGCTGCATACATTTCGCTTGTCCATCCACATCTGTCTTTCTTTCCATCCTTCTTTCTCTCGGGCTGCCTGCTCCTTAACCGTGCCAGCAAGCCTGCAGTGCGATCCGACCGCCGGCACAGTGGTGTGCGGGTTCGGTGTAAACTGTCTCAAGATGTTGCAGTACAAGCTCTGCGGATAGATCCACCTCCTGCAGTTGCCCTAGCTGTCCGGCCCCGGCCAGTAGCATCTCCCAGACAGCCCCGGATGCCGCCGCCGGACCTTGCCCTGGACATAGGTGATGACTTCGCCGAAGCCATTCCGCCGAGCGATCTCAGTCGCCTCGGCTTCAATTGAGCGAACGATCTGAATCACTGAATCTGGCTCGTCCCGTCCCATCTTCATCTGAAAAATCCTGAACGCTTGTACCGGAGGTCCTTCACTCCTAGCCACAGATCTATGGAGTGCAGGGACGCTCCTCACGCCTGCATGCCCACTCGACACTGCCTCGCACATAAACGGAAGCCAACAAGGCGAAATAAGCCTCGCACGTAGCTCGCAATGTTTGAGCATTCGATGCCAACGACCCGTGCCGCACCCGCGCGGGCGGCAAACAGTGATAGAATGCCCGTACCTCATTTTCAATGTCAACGCACGTCAAATAACACATCTTCAACCACCATGCATACAGTCTGATCAAGACTTTCTTTCTTCCCCAAGCACCTGCGCCGACATCCAGCACCGTCTTTCCGTGAAACAATGCCTTCGAGAAGGGACATGGAAAGACTGCACTATACTACTATACTAAACCACAATTTTCAGGGCATTCGGTCCACAAGGTCGTACAGCACAAGCCTTGTTTCGGGTGATTTAGAGGAGTCTAATCATGTGGACCTATTGCATTGTGTCGATGATTTCAAGCTCTGCACCTGCATGCTTGAAATGTTTACACCGTCCATACATCGACTGCCTTAGCACTGTTGATGGCATTCATGTAGCCACTGGTGCGGACGCAGTCCTGAAAGCAGGTGCACATTCCTGAACGCATTCGACCACGCTTCTCATCCACCATAGAAGGGCGAAGCCTGCTGATTCATCTGGAGGCTCCAAATCCCCCTGCACTTTGCTGATTCAAAATCTCGTTAAGGTCCTTCAGCATATCCTCGTGGATGCCGAAACGTGCCTCAGCACAACATCGACACCACGCTCGAGCTCTCTCTGCGCTATCACAGTCCGATGAACTGCATGTGCAGTCCGGACTGCGGCTAAACACTAAACTGATTTGAAACGACAGTCCGATATGGGGTATGTTTTCAGAACTCAAAATTACATGTGAACCCACCCGGCATTCAAGCTCGGCGGCATAGGAGCTGAAGTAGTAGTCCTGCCCGGCAACGGCCACGAGATTTCTGGGGGACCATGCCCGGGCAACCCCTACCCCAAACACACTCAGTACCATCAGTACAAACGGATTCTCCCCTGCAAAATCCCAAGATTCCAAGATCCCGAAACCCAAAGTCCGAAGGAAGCGCTGGAAGCAAGAGACCCAACTTCAGACACGCGGCAGGAGTCTGAGAAAGAGTCGGAGTTCAAGGCGGGTTATACTTCGTGCTATGGGCAGCAGAGAGAGACAAGTATTTCGGGATGACGGGTTTGCTCGCACCGGAGCTTATATTTTTGCAGCAGGAGTTTAGGTGACTCAAGGCTGAACTGGATCGAAGATCTCACATCCGCTTGATTTAACACTCATCTATCTCATGTATTGCCCCTTAGTGGCAGGCCTCGCAGAAGTGCAGGCTGAACTTACACTTCGCAAGGCTGGGGTACCCCAAGTCCCTATAAACCCTGAGATCATCTAACTCGCACCTTCAAAACAGGGGTGGTCCTTTATGGAATCGCTGCCCGCGTCGGGGAGCGGCTCCCACTTGCTCCGGAACTCTTCCAAGCTCTGCTCCTGTGACTGAAAAAGAAGGCCCAGGGATTCTTCGGAGTAGTATAGGATGTGTTTAGGTTGGGGGCTCAGGGCAAATTTAGGGTTAAGGGTTTAAGTATCATGGGGTTATTGACGGGGCCTTGGAAATATTGCGGGCATCACTAAATCATTAAATGGGACGGACTGTTGAGGGGCCTGTGCATCATGACTTTCAATCCTGGAAATTATTCGCACGCGCACAAACACACAACCACAGAGATTCCACCAAAGAGAACCCATGCATCCGGAGGGCCTGCTCGGGTGCCTCGCAAGGGACCCAGCGCGGCTTGCCATCGTAACCTCAGATGAGGATCCGCCGGTAGCGGGCCCGCATGGTGCCTTTGACCCAAGTTCTGTGACTCTTTCTACCCGAAACCCTAAGCCCTGCTGCAATGCAGACTTGCAAGGATCTCGGCTTCATGCCTTTGGGGACCCCATGAAGATTTGCAGACTCTGGGGATAGAAGCTCTGAAGCGGGATGCAGAAGTAAATCCTAAACCCCTGGGCCCTAAACTTATGACGCTGTTTGTTGCTGTAGATTAACGATGATCATTACGACTTGTACTGGGGACTATAAGGGAATTGTTGTACTAACCAAAATAAGAAATACTATTCTCACAACATCCCCAACTAATATCTTTAGTAAACTTTCTTAGGCCCTTGAAATACCGATCGTACTGCAGGCTGAAGAACCTGCGGCAGGTCTCTTCAGCGCCTTCCGCGTCATCTTGCTGATGGAGGAGGCAGAGTCATGGCGAAGCCCGGTGTGGTGTGGCGTTTAGGGTTTAGGGTGTGGGGTGTAGAGCTTGGGATTTGGGGTTTAAGGCTTGAGGGCCTTAGGGGAATGCCAGTTTGGTTCTGCGGGGTTTACGGGCCTTGGGTCCCGGGCTTCAGGGATCAAGGTTCGAGGCGACACTTGGAGCTGTTATGATCGCTCCCCTATTCCATCCGTCTTGCTGGTTGATTTTATGGCATAGGTTCGGCCTCTATCCATGCCTAGCCTTGGACTATCGCACCATCACATACCGCGATGGCCTGCATGGTCATACTTTTATCATCACACCTACTACTTGCCAAGACTAGAACCCCGGCATGATCAGGCTGCTAGCTCGGAGTTATGAGCGAATCGTATTACTTGCTAACAAATTTTGCTAGAGTTAGTCAATTTAATGTGAGTGCAGCTGACTTGGAGCTCCTCGGAGATTGGAAAGCTAAGAGAAGCGGCAAAGGGGCATCGAGTGAGCTCGGAGTCTGTGAGGCAGGCCATGACTTCATGCATTTACCCCATCGTGCACGTGACTTGTGCTTCCTTTTCATCTTTTTAAGTGGGCTCTGGGCACATCAACAGGTTCATTCCCTTACGGTGGAGTCCTACAAGGAACATTGAAGGAACATGCCTTCCGAAGCTTCTGGCGGTCTCTGTTTCTGTTTTGCACATCCGCGCATGCGCATGCAGACGCAATGCTGCCGAGCCTCGCAGGCCGTAATGAATTCGGCTAATCCAGGGAACCGGAAACATAAGGATTCCCAGCATGTGGCGTGAACGAGCCACGAGAAGGCCCTCTGTCATACATCGTGCTTGAGATTCGAGATAGGTCACGACGACAAATGTGTGTGTGTGTGTGTGTGCATATATATATATATACACAAATACATGTGCGCTTAAGTGTATGTATACATACGACGAAGTCTGATAGTCAAGACGTACAGTACCTGAGGGCCACTAGTTGCTTTGTGACAAAACAATCAATAACGTCACGGAGGCTGCCGAATTAAGCAAGCTAAGCTTCGTGCTCTGGCCAGCTCAGACAGAGACACAACTACGTCCGACGTTGCAGTCAACGTGGCAAGCCTTCCCTGCCCTCTATGGTTTTTCCTTCGTTAATCCTCCCAAAGCTAGACCGACCGCATCTCGAGCAAAGAGTGGGTCGACGGTTTGCTGCAGGATTTTGTGGAGTTGAAAAGCCAATGAGCAGTCCGATGAGTGTGCCATGCTGAACTTCAATTCCTTCTACCGGGTGACCGTGTCTTCTCGCCGGGGCAAGCTGGCTTATCCGTTGGCTACAGAGCTGTCCTGAAGGCTACAGGCCATCACACATCTTCGATGGGATCATCCGGCAAGGCCTTGATTCCCCACTCTCTTCAGACACATGCATGAGTCGCTGGTGTACAAGTCCTCCCTGCCGAAAGGAAATCTTATCCATAGACCCACAGAGTTCCGATGCGTAAGCTTCCGGCGAACTTCCAGCTGTCGGGCCTCAGCCAAGTTTCGGGCGAAGCAACTAGACCGATCTCGTGAACTATGGGCAATCACGCTCGACTTGTGATGTATTGCACGTCCACCCACAGATCTAGCTCGTGACCTTTGCAATGCATGTATTTTGCGGGCAACTGTCTGTTCTGTGTCCTAGAATGCCATGCACCGGCTGCCGTTGCTCGGGTTTCTGCGGATGCTTCTGGCCTTCCCAGATCTTGTAAGTACCTTCGACACCTGTCACCTCAGAAAATGAGACCCGAGCTTAGGTATTGAAAGGAACCCTTATAGAACCCTGAAAGGACCCTCAAGGAACCCTAGGACCCATTGGGTTAGTCCCAGATTTGATCGGTTTAGGGTCCAAGGATGAGTTGAGCTCCTGGCGTCGCAGTCGACTCGACGGGCTGGGAGGGCCGCTTGAACCCCGCACCCTGGACAGTTCTGAAACATTGCGGGTGCATTGTAGCTCAATGACAAAAACCAACAGCGGTGTGCGCAGAGGGAGTAAGGCACCATGAAGAAACGGCAGCAGCAGCAGTAGTAGCAGTAGCAGTAGCAGTAGCAGGAGCAGCAGGAGTGGGAGCCGTAGCTATAGCAGGTGGGAGGTATTAGGTAGTGGGTAGAAGCAGTAGCAGCAGCAGTAGTAGTTGTCGCAGTCGCAGAAGCGCCTGCAGATTAACCAGGCCAACTATGCCAACACTTCCGAGAACCTTATGGCTCCACATTGATGCCTGCGATGCGGTGCTGCTGAAAACTGAAGACCCCGAGCACTGCCTGCTTGAATACCCAGCCTCGAACAGGTAGTTCAAGCTCTAATGATTCTAATGATGATGCACTTGTGTTTTGTCATTGCCTAGAAGCGGTGCTTCTGCCACCAAGTACCCTCCACGAAGGGTCTTATCTTGCACCTTGCCTCCCTTAGAGTTGTAGTCTCCGCGCAGGATTGATACAAAGAGCTGCATTTCTGTCGTGACCATCGCTGCCATGAGGCAAAACTGCTCTCATGAACTTCAGGATCATTCCCACCCGCACCCTAAACCCTAAGCCCTGAACCCTAAAGCCTGAACCCTAAAGCCTGAACCCTAAACCCTGAACCCTAAACCCTGAACCCTAAACCCTAAACCCTGAACCCTAAACCCTAAAATAAACCACCAAAGCGCAGAAGGCGCCTGGGAGGACTGCGCGTCCACCGTACCGTGGAAGACGAACTCACCATCGACTCCCGAGCCTGAGACCGGTCACTACCCACAGGGGCCTTAATAATCAGAATAGAGTTTTGGGGGCCCAATATATACTATAATTATAATACCCCCCCCCCCCCCCCCAAGTACACCATATTTATTCTAAGAACACCTCCCCCCCCCCCGAAAAAAACAAAAAGTAGTTGGTAATCATTAATTTATGAGGCCCCTACATTAGGGAGGCCTGGAGGCCTTCGGCTCTCAGGAGGCCGCGATTCGGGTGCTGGCCCCTGGCTTCAAGCTTTTGGGACTCCTAGGTCCTAGGTCCTCAGATTATCTTCAAGAAATGGGAGCTTCCGAAAATGGGGGGCCCTTATATAGTACCCTAAATAGTAGGATCCCTATTATAAGGACCCCAAAACAAGGTACCCCTAATTTTCGGAAACTCCCAAATGAATCCCGTTATCAGGGCTCCCGGCTCATACCCATAAGTAGCTGCATCATGGGATGCGGAAGGTGATTGAGCTTGGGATGCTGGCCCCTGGCATAGGGCTTGCAGAGGGTTTGGGTGGATAAGGGTTTACAAGACTCAGGGTTAAGGACTTGGGCCCATTCTCGGGGTTTCAAGGATTATGATGAAGGGGCGTACGTGGACTAGGCTGATCGAGGCCAGGAACTTGGAAAGTTGCTTGAACGAAGTTACCTGTGTCCCGAAGCAAGATGCTTCTGAACAATTGCGACTGTCAAGCGCCGCTTTTCTAAATCGCATATGCCTCCAGGCTTAGTTGCAATGCTAGAAAGAACTTGTTGGTGCCGGCTGGTACCGAAGGCTTTCGATCTGGGAGCACGACATGCAACAAGAAGTAATGACTGATGAAGATTTAGAGTTTAAATGCTCGGGCTCCTAGCTGTGAGGCTTGGTTCGGGATGGCGTGAGTTTACGCGAACTGTGAAGAATCGGAAATCCATAACTACCTGAAGCCTGCTGACATGACAGAAACAACAACGATACGGATCTTCGGTATAGCTCTCTAGGCGGGGCTTTCCATATAATTACATAAGCTCGAATCAGTGAACCATAAACGTCTGAGCACGCAGAGGCATAAGTCAGGTCACTGTAGTTTCATGTGAGCGCTAGCCGTGAAGCAGTGATCAGTCTGGGCATTTTTGTAGCATGGGAGCCCGCAGTCAACTGAATTCAGCCCTTTGGAACAAGCCTTCCGGTCTGTCGGAAAGTCTTCGAATCCAAACACGCCACAATCCGCCCTGCACTACACGAAACCCTTTCACACTGATGCCCTGAGCCTCTCAGCCCTTAAACACGACAGCATTAAGGCTTCGAGCACGCAACGAACTCTGTACCCAACCCATACCCTAAAACCCTCCTGCATCTAAACCCCTTAACCCTTTCTGGCTCCTGCTGGATTGAAGGAGAAGGTGCACGAAAGGGAGCGTCGACCGCACGAGACTGGGTCCTCGCCAAGTTGCTTTGAAGTCTTGTCGCTGAGGATGCTTCTTTGAGGGCCCATAAAGGAGCCCTTAAAGGAGCCTTTTGAAGGAATCCCCTAAACCCTAAACCTCTTTGAGGGCTATAGACTATAGAAGCATGTTGTGGGGTTTGGGGCTTCGGCCTGCCTGAGGGGGGGGGGTGGCACAGCATGCACAGAGAGGAATGCGTTTATTGGACCGGACTGATCGGGAACTACAGGGGGTGGTTGGGGGTGGGCGGATCGGGCTGAGGGCAACACACCACAAAACTACACAAGTAATCGGCGGAAACTTCTGAGGTCCCAGCGGACAGCCGAACCACCGAGTGCTTCGGGACCCAACTTCACGAGGTGTGCGGTCAGCTCCTGAAGCAGGGTTTCGGGGCGTGATCGAATACGGAGCTTTGTAAGAGGGGGCAAGGGCTCCCAGGGTCTGGCTATCAACCAATATGATTGTGCGAACGATTGCTGTGCTTGTTGTCGTCAGTCTCGTCTTATGCTGAGAAACGCCGTGAATGGTGACGAGCACGAAAACGACGCGGTGCTAATTATGATGAGATGATGTTGCTCCGATGATGAAGACGATGGCAGGGAACACACGGCGGCGAGGACGATATCAACGACGACGGTGCTGCTGCAGGTGCAGGTGTCAGCATGCTGTGAGTGTTGCAGGTGTTCCTACGGCTTCGTACTTGTCTGCGGAGCGGCACCTTGTGGGAGTATTATGTATAGGAGCTCAAGTCCAGTTGATCATCGGTTTGGAAGCCTTTTTGCGCACATGAAGTTTCACAGCATTGTGGGCACTGGGGCTCGGTACAAAGCTTTTTCGAAACTCAAAACCGAACGGACGCAGGCGTGGAGGGCAAGACCCCGAGTGTGCCATGCCGGCAAGTGCGGTGAGCCGCACATGCAGTTACATGCTAATGTGACACTCACCTCTATACCGGAGTACAGCCAATAGTGCTTAAGCAAAGTGGAACCTGAAATGCTTGTTGTGCCTGCTGCCTTGCTCAATTGACTGTAAGGCCTCAAACAGAGAACGCGAAACCCCAAACACCGACTACTCCGCGGAGTCTCGGTCCGAACTTCCTAGTGCCCGAGTTGGCTAGGTCCTCCAGGCGGCGGGTGCGATGGCGCTGCACATCCCAGGTGGATGGACGGACCTGCTTTGGCTTGCGGACTTCGGGTTCCCGGCACCCATTGCTGGGTCTGGGAAAGCTTTGGGATGTTCAGGGTTTAGTATTCCGGTAAGGATCGGTTCATGCAGTACGAAACCGGAACAGCCGAGGTCCAAAGATTCCGGTCTTCAAAGCACTGCAGAACAAATCTGATCCTCCGCCCTCCAGCCGACACCCTGAGTGCAGCAATGCAATCATCCATGCACGCATGCATACATGCATGCATGCATTCATGATTTCATTAGTTAGTTCCTTTTCTCGTGACTGGACTGTTGTTCATTCCTTGCTTCTGTCCTTAAAAAATAGAAATTTCCATTGTTTCATGCAGCCCTTCATTCATTAGTTCATGTGTGCATGTATCCAGTAGTCCACTCAGTCATTCGTTCATGTATTTGATCAGCCCCTGGCTCTTTCATCCATCCATCCATCCATCCATCCATCCATCCATCCATCCCTTCATCCCTTCATCCCTTCATCCATCCTAACATCCATCCATGCCTGCATGTGCTCATGCATGTCATGTCATTTCATGTCGTGTCAGGCCGCGTCATGCCATGGCGTTCACTCATTTATTGTTCATCCATTCATCCGTTCATTCGATCATGCATTCAGTCAGTCATTTATGCACTCGGTCATCGTGGCATTCATACCTTCATTGATTCATGCATCCACAAATTGAGTTCGCTCTTTTACTCATGCATTCATGTATGCCTTCCGTTCGTACGTTGATTCCATTCAGAGACTCATCATTCATGCATTCAGTCAGTCATTTATTCACTCGGTCATTTTGCCTTTCCTGCCTTCATTGAACCATTCATTCACAGATTAAACTCGCTCTTTCATTCATGCATTCATTTATGCCTCCCGTTCGTTTGTTCGTTCATTCCACTGGCTGACTGATCTCATTTCCTTCCAATTGATTTCATGTCAGTTCTGTTATTTCGTTCGTGCACATGCGCATGAATATTTGGCTTCGCGCCGTCCACATGTTAACGTGTGTATGTGTGTAACGTGTGTGTGTATATATGTATGTACATACATAGATGCACACACACTTATTGCACATACAAACATACACATGCATATACATTCTATACATGTATGTGTATGTGTATACATACATGCATACATACATACATACATGCATGCATACATACATGCATACATACATACATGCATACATACATGCATGCATACACACACATATATATATATATATATATATATATATATATGTATGTGTATATATATATATATATATATACATATACATATATATATATATATATACACGGGTATATATGTACACACATGTCTGTATCTATATCGGTATATATGCAGATATACGTATTACATATGCCCGTACATGTAGATATAGATAAACATGTAGCTGTAGATGTGCACGTGTGTGCACACATGTCTGTGCCAGTCTACGCAAAGAATCATGAAAGGAGTTCGACGAGCTATGTGCATGTACCGAACGTCGGACATCTACAAGTCTTGACTCGAAAACCCCGGGAACAGTCTTATGTGGGACTGGTTTCCCAAAGAAACACATGCCGCCGCTGTCTGCTTTCTGGCCAGCTCAGACTCTGGCAGCGGCTGCTGGAAACAGATTTCAGCAAACTCGAACTAATTACAGAGCGTAATGGGGAATCATCGGAAAGCTGAGCTGCAGAACACCTGTCTTCAACGAGAGTTGCCCTGGGATTGAGAGGCCAGCCATGTTGAATGCGGACCTGGAGCGCAACAGTCAATGAGAAGAAGACACCCGCTATTCTGTCTGGAGACAACTTCTGAAAACCTGCCGATGGCTCTAGCTGCCAGCTGCTTCACCGATAGCTTCGCATCTCCACTCAACCGTAATTACTGGTTCAACACCTCGATGTTTTCCAGGGTTTGGGTCTTGCTGTGCCTGCTGCGCAGTTAAAACCTTTAAGGTGAGATTCTACAGGGACCCGACCCCGCTTCATTTGCATGGCAAAGGTTTATATACCGCCCAAACGAAGATTATTGGTGGATGTCCACATGCATGGAATTGGGCAGAGAAGTGAATGGCGTCCGTCACTGCGCGACCGGAAACCCCATGGTGCAGGAGCTGTCAGACCTTCCTAGGATTTATCTCCGTGACTTGCCCCTCCTGTAGGCCCCGGCGCGGCTGCAACGTCTGCATCGGGGCTCGATGTTGCAGAGCGGAAGGCTGGGGGCACGGGGTGGAGGTTGGCCTGCCATCGGCTTCAGGATGGATCTGGTTAATACAAGGGGATACCATGAAGGTTGCTATAGTACGAGGATTTCTCTACCAAAGGTCACTACCAGGGTCCGTTGGAAGCTTAAGAAGAAAATTGTCCATTGTTTGAGGCTTAATTGTAGCAAGCCTGAGGGTTCCGCTTTACTTGAAATCTCTGCTGATTCCCCTACATTGCGAGTTTCCGACAATAGGGGACCCTAATATAGTACCCTAAATAGTAGGATCCTCATCATAAGGCCGCCAAAATACAGCACCACTAATTTGCGGAAACTACCTAAAAGTATTCCCCATTTTAGAACCCTTATGGATCCCTTTTAGAAGCTCTTTAAGGGAACCCATAAGGTAATTACCCCTAATTTGCGGAAACTCCCACACGGAAGTCTTTCGGAGTTTTGTCCCGCACAGGATAGACAGTGCACGGCTTGCAGGGCCAGGTTGTCATGGGAATGAGAGAGATCTTTGTGGGTGGTCTTCGGAGCGGGGGCAAAGTTGGCGAGCTATTTGCTACTGGTTTCTCAGAACTCTTTGAATGACATTTGGACAAGTTTGGGGAGATGTTGTGTATATACATAAGTGGGAAGCTTCTCATGTTTACGCTATCAACTGGCTGCAGTCTGACTGACGACTCGCTTGTCACTGCTGCCATTGACTGCTCCTTTGGCATGGCTGCTTTCAAGCGGCAAACCCGTTCAAAACCCACTGAAACTAAATCTCTCAGCTAAGCCAACCCTAAAACATCAGTCAACGCCAATCGGGAACGGAAGAACTTTACGCGAACTAGAATCAAGGCTGTGGGATCTACCAAATTGCAAGGCAGTCATAAAGGAGTGCCTGTACTGCCCTCTCTCGAGACTCCCATACAGCTCGAGCTGATTCGCGGACATCACCCCGAGCATCCCCGAGCATTAAAACAAAACGTGCCGGGCTAACGTCAAGCAGTGATCGCACTTGGACAGACGTCGCCTGAGAATTTGATTCGGCTGGTTAGACAAGCACTGGAGCAACTACATATGCATTTGGTGTTCTAATTCTGTGGTTATTTTACTGCTGTTCGGCTGTTGCTATTGCTGCTGTTGTCGCCTCTGCTCTTCTTGCTTCTGCTACCTACAAAGAGCACTCAGGCTGCTTTTCCGAAGTCCGGTCAGAGCGCAGAAGCCATCGAAACCTACAAACATCGCATCCTCTGAACATATTCTACCATATTGTGCTCTCTCTCTCTCTCTCACACTCTCTCTCTCTCTCTCTCTCTCTCTCTCTCTCTATGTATATATATATATATATATATACACACGTATTTTCACTATTCTATACTATAGTATACTATATACACTATCATGCGGTATTATGCTATTCTCCTCTGGCACTCTAGGATTGGGTCACTGTCGGCTTCGGGAACTCGCGATGGGAAAGACGATGTTTTGGAGGTTGCATGCTGGCTGGGCTTCAGACGCAGCACCTTCGTTATCATGGCGTAAGTTTCGGGGTCTGAACATCCTAGGGTCATGGGGCTGAAGGGTTTCGGGGTGCATCCGAAGACGAGGGGTCTGGGGATTGAGACCCCGAAAAACGACGCGAAACTCCGGGGCTGCGGCCAGCTCCTCTGCAACGGGGGTGTCGACCTGTACAAGAATGAGTGCAGCAAAGTCTTTATGCACTTTTGTAGTGTGGTATATAGTGTAGTGTCTCACAGTATGTTTAGTATAGGTAATTATGGTATAGCATGTATAGCTTCTAGTATACTCTTTACTATATTCGAAAAAATCAACGCATAGTACAGTACAGAGAAGTCAAAGATGGGAGTATTGACATCGGAAAGATAGGTCTTTCCGGATTGCTCTACAAGAACCTCTTCTTGGACGCAGAAGAGCTAAACTATGACTCGGTGACTTGACTCATGCCAGAAATTACGCTACTCAGCAAAAGACACCGCCTCCTCCTAGGTTATAAGGGCCACCAAATTGTTCATGAATGGGAATAGGTACAAGTACCTTGATAAGGTAAAAAACAAGATCAAGGAAAAACCAATGAAGATGGAGGAAGTGCCCCAAATTCACATTCAAAAGAGCGGCGTCTTCTTTCCACCCTCGCCAGCTGCCACTGCTGATCCCACCTCACTGCACCACGCATTTGAGGAGTTTGGCGAGTAGAAATAGAGGGGGTTATAGGGCTTGGGCCTTAACGAGCCCACGTAGTAAATAAGATTAAGCTTCGAACTCACGAACGCGAAGCTTAAGACTTGACTTAAAGGGTTTAGGAAGAAAGTAGCTAAGCCACAGCCATGCAGAAATGTATTCCATAAACTCGAAATCGCGAAAGCCCTCCATCAAATCGGCAAGTGGGCGCTCCAGGGATGCGGCTCCAGGCGTCAGCCTCTGCCAAAGCCCCGGAAAAGGCGGCGAGGTCTGTGACCTGGGTTGAGGATGCCTTTGGGCAAGTGCAGGGCCTTGGTGATTCACAGATTTAGTCAGGAGCCTCTGTGGACTGAGAGTATCTGAGAGCGCTAGATCGCAATAGCTTCGTGTTCTTAGCCCAATCCCCATGCGTTTGCGGAAGTGGAGCCCTTAGGTGCTCTTGCATGGGGGCCGGCTACACCAGAATCACCACCTGAATCCTCGCTCTTTTTTGCTAAATCCCAGCGCGGTCCTCCACAAGATCTCACCCAACACCCGAAACTCTGCAACTCTACATATCCATTATGACATGATGAACTCCAACCGTTGTGCGGTGCTATCGACGCTTCGCAACCGGCCCTGAAGAGTGATATGGGGCCTTTATAATTAGGACAGGGTTTCGGGGCCCATTCTACTATACTTGTAACAGAGGAACCCCCCAAATAGTATAGGTAATCATCTAAACAGTGAGGGCCCTAACCTGAAACCCCGCTAAAGCCTAAACCCTAAACCTGAAATCTGGTCTCTACCAAGGCACAGAGCCGTAGAAGCGCGGAGCCTCGAAGCACTTCGGGTTGAGGCGGTGAAGGCTCACGTGGGGGATCACGGGAGTAAGGGGCTAAGGGTCCCTTTAAGGGATCTATAGGGGTACTATAGGGGTTTAGGGTTTACTTGGAGGATCATGGGACTTAGTAAGTAAGTTTATAAGTACCT